CTGTCTCTCTTTCCTTCGCTTGTTATTACTAGACGTTAATCTCGACAGAGCGACACGACAGGCCATGCGATTCAAGAAGCCTACCCTCGTTACAGTAGCATTTTAGCGTTCAGGTCGATAATAGAAACGTTCGGCGAGGGTTGTTAGGAACGTGACGCGATGTCAATTCTGAAACCCACGTCTCGTTGTTTCGAGCACGGGCGGAGGGCGCGAATGAAAGGAAATGTATGGTACGGTTTCGCGTGACTAACCTAGTGGAATCTAACAAACGAATTTATCAAACCGTGCGGATGGAACCGAGGTCAATTGTATATTGCTGAAATGTACTACGAACACTTTGCATACCGTTGTGTTTTTAGATGGATTGCTGGTGTATAATTTGCTTACTGAAGCCAGTGTTAGCTAGTAAGCTGCGCAATATTAATTAAAAACTTGAGAAGTGCTATAGTTCTCTTTGACACAAATAAATTTTTGTTTTATAAGGTTAATTTTTCGGAGACTCGATATTATTTGATAATTACGGCGAATAAAGAGATTTATCCATCTAATTATACTAGGAATATATTATTATTCTGTAACAAAGTACTACCGTACATGCTAACACGTCCACTGTATTCTGCTCGTATAATAATAAATTTGAAAAAACGAATACATACATTCGATTAACACTAGAACTACCAAGCAATCAAATTGCCTTTTCCATTTTATTCTGTAGAACCCCCAATAGTGCAACTGTTGGATTGGTTAGCGATTCAGTTTGTGTATTGCTAAATCAATGTCCCTAGTAATTTCTCAGAGGAGCGTCTGTTATCTATTGAAAAACGGGAAATAAAGGAATTAGAAATGGGCCATTTTGACCCATCCGGTAGTTCTAGTGTTGTGGAAATACCTAGAAGCTTCGATTTACCGTCAAAATATGTTTCAGATCTAAAGCAATATATATAATCGAAATCGATATATCTGAAGCGAGTTCCGTGACGATAGTTCGTAAGCCTGCTATCCCGCGAATATAAAAAATTTAATCCTATTGGGGGAAGTGTGATGCAGAAAGGAAGAGATAAGCACCCCCCAAAAAGTTTAGCAGCGGTCCGAGATAATTCTACTTCTGATGTCGATTAGCCCTCATTCGGCGCGCAACCCAAACTCGTTTCGCTCTCAATTGGCAGTGATCGGTGCAGCTGCACGTGAATATCATCATCAGAGTGTCAATAGATACAGGAGGCAACGGCAACGGCGGTGGCGGCAGCAGTAGTTGCAACCCTGACTCGACCACGCGATGCCTTATTATGTAAATTTAATGACGTCGACGATTCGATGCACGCGCGGCCGTCCGTTCCCATGGACGTGAACGCGCCTGCGTGTGACCGAAGCTTAAGCTTTCCGCCGGGAACACCTGATAAACCGCGCGACATTTGGAAATGTCAGCCTGATAAATACCGGCGGCTTCTACGAATTTCTTACAAGAAAGGGAACCCGTGAGTGGAGACAGTTGTGTTACAACACTGCAGAATTTTTTGATACCGGGGTCAACGACATACAAGAGATTTCGCGGAAAGATAATGGATTGCGAGTGTATTCAATTTCGAATACAGATTCATCGTCACTAAGAAAAAGTGTACAAGGTGTTCGCGATAATTTGTAGCGTCGGTTTTTCTCGTAAACGGTAAACATTAGGAAAAAACCGAAAATGAGAAAGTTGTAGTATATTTTACTAGCAATATGATAGCGTGTCGAAATTCTTTTGTATTTTTAATATTTTCTAGAAACAAAGGTGACCTTCATTTTTTTTAACACCAGAACTATCAGATGGATCTCATTGGATTTTAGAAGAACGTGTCGAAGTATTACTATTTTCTTCAATGTTTATAAACTTGTATGAAATACTAGTGTTCGGAAATACTTATTTTCGTAATATACAATATTTGTGTATGTAGTGAGTTTGTAAATGAACTATTATGGAGAATATTTATTCAAAGTTCTATGCGGAATATTAGAGGCTTCGTATAAACGTTACCTGGTTTTAGAAATCCAGTTAACGATACGAACAGCGAATTCTTTAAATGGGATAGCCTCGTGCAGTAGTGATTATTAAATATCAATAATATAGCTGATGTAATGAGATTTATGTAATCGTCTGAAATATATTTGAAAACATTGCCACGTACTTTACCACTATCTTTCGTAATATATGATTAATGAGAAACAATAAGATGGAAATATTGAAAGCTCAATATCGTTAATGCGAATCAATTTACAGAGAACAATCATTTATTTCAAAAGGACATGAATATAACACTTGATAAATATCAGAGTTTTCTGGTATGATCAATTTTTCAACATTTTTATCAAGCTAAAACATTGTTTCTGTCTGTAACTTTCCAAATGGACGAATTCTAATCGAAAAGTCATTCAATATTTCTCCAACTTTATTCCGAAAACGAAGGTGTGCGGCTTTTGTTCCCTTCGGACCAATCGTGGCGACCGGTCAACGCGACACTTTTAATCACCGGCTAAACGGAAGTTTCCCTTCCACGGAGTTCTTAAAACCGGTGAATGTGTTGCTCCGGGAAAATCGATCCGCGCTCGAAATAGAGAGGAGGCTTTTATCACGCGAACGGAGCAGGCCGATCGCTGGATAAGCCGAGATTTCGTGGTGGTAATCGATACACGCGGTCTAGAGCCTCGGCGCATGAATTTACACGGGGATAAATTTAGCGTATAGCGATTTGCATGCGCTGCGGTGATAAGTGCCGTGGCTGTTGGAGGAAAATACGCGCGCCCCCGTCGCGATGCGTCCTTCCCTTCTTAATTGCCACCACGGTCTCTCGAACTTTCATCGCTACACCTGATGACGTTATGATTTATTAAGTCGCAACGCGGTTAAAACGTTTTAAAGACCGCTGGAATAACCAGATTTCGAAGACAAAAAATGAAGAGTACGACGTTGCGTGTCCACTTGAAATTGTTGGTTCAACTCGTAAATAACTGCGCTCGCGGACGTTGAAGAATGGTTATTTAACAATGAAAGTACTGAAGTACATACTGCGGTTATTAAATTTGAATGATAAGATGTTAAGTAATTTGAACCGTCGAATCGAATGAAATAGAAATACACTCCACTAGACAGTTGTTCTGAAAAACCTATTAAACAATCTCTTGTTGGTAGTGGGCAATTTCGAGTTTTAGAGAGAATCTGGCATAACCTTCTGTGCTGTTATATTGAATGAGGTTGCTAGTGAAGATTTCCGTTTGCATTTTATAAGTGGTATTAATACCACAAGTATTTTTATGGTATTTCTTACCGGTTCATTAAAAGCTTTCGTTACTCAAATTTTATAATTAGAACCTTCATTACGATAAGTAAGCTTCTTTGATTGTGACATGAAAAAGAAGGTATTGGAAAATTACGTTAAATGTATTATATTTTAATGTCAAACACTAAGTTGAACCTAATATTAATAATGATAAATAATGTAAAAATTCAATTTCTAGATAATACTGTTTTGGTACGTTTAATATTTACATGAATGTCAATGTAACAGTTTTCAGTTTCAACCGTTCGAAATCTTCCAGAATTTCGCACGAATTCGCCTCTCCTGTTTCGACGCATGAAAAATTTCTACACGTCACGATTTGGAAAATGTCAGCGTGACAAATACGTTCGGCGTGATAATGCAGTTGCGTGACACCACCTTGCTGCTCCAAAGGGATGTTTTCTTCATTCTACTTCTTTTTTTTCTAGGTTAGCGTGGGTGCAATCAATTTCAGTCAAAAATATCCGTTTTATTCTTTCCTAGGCGCGGCACGTTCCTTGCTACACTATTTTTGACGACGCTTGAGTGTGCCATTTGATCCGTGAATAAACACTTGAAACAACCCCCGCATTATTTCAGAAATATTATTACATTTGTCGACTAAACGAGAGAAGGACCGTAAAGAAGCAAACTTTTCAATCCGTCAATAAACCGAAATGAATTTCTTTAATTGCTTCGTGTTGTTCAACGAATACCAAACGTGCTTTCTCCGAAAACACAGATATATTACAGTAAGACGGAAGAATTATTTCAATAAATCTTCAGTTCTATTTCCATTGTTCCATTCAAATAAAAATCCATTCACTTTTAATTTTGTTAAACATCAAATATTGAATTTTAAATGTATCGTTAATTAACTTACTTTAACTTTTTAATTTTATTTTTCACTTTATTTTGCTACTATTCATGCTTGATACAAAATATAAAACAATAAAGAAAAACTATTGTAATAAAATAACATATAAATCTTCCCCTTGTTGAAATTCCCCTCATATTCCTACTAAAATTGATTTCCAGATATCGATGCATTTTATTTTAAAAGGCTAGCCGATAATAACAAAACCAACTAAAAATAATTTATTTCAAATCCAATTGTACCACCAAATCAATTCCCATCGGTATCGAATCCCCGTTGAGATAAATTTTTATTATAATTCGCGCAAACT